TTATATGTTTTACATATACGTTACTATTTAAAAGTTTGGTGTCAGTAAGATTTTCTTTTGAAAGAAATTAATATTTTTATGTATTTTTTAGGATGAATTCAATTGATGAAAAGTGACAGTAAAGACTGATATTTCAAAACATATATTTAAAATGAATGCTGTTCTTTTGAACTTTCTATTTATCAAAGAATCCTAAAGAAATATTACAGTTTTCACAAATATTTACTCTAAAAAACACTGCTCACTGTGGTTTTGATCAAATAAATGAAGCCTTGTTGAGCATAAGGGATTTCTTTCAAAAACATTTAAGAGTCTTACCAACCCAAAACTTTAACCAGGTAATAGTTTTTACTGTAGCGTTTTAGTATATTGTCACATACACAAACACAAGTGGTGGTGAAAAGTTTTGAAGTGTCTTGGTTGTTCTTTCCAAGAACATTCCTAGAAATCCTGATTGTACAGTGTTTGTGGAGTTTGTGTCTTATATAACATTCAAGTGTTTCTTTGGGTTTCAGTTTTCCTTCATATCATTCCTATTTTTATATTCCTTTACCTGATATATATTTGAAGTCATGAATGAGATCACGTTTCATCCCTGAATGTGCAATTTAGTTGTGAACCAGGGCTGATCTGTTCAGGATTCCATCTTCTCATAAGGTCATTACTTAAAGAGGTGGTTCACTGTTTTTTTTCTAGGCTTGATTGTGTTTATGTGGTGCAGTCTAACATGTGTTAATGCTTCGTTTTTTAAAAAACACATTATTTTTCACATAATTTACCTTTATTCCACACCGCTCTGTCATTTCTCTGAGAAATGGTTTATGCTCAAACAGCAACATTACACACTAACTAACGTTAAAAAAGTGAAATCGCAGTCAACCACCCCTTTAACGTTTCATGGGTGCCTTGTTGTCACAAGCATTTAATGCTTCTCCATTTACAGAATGTGATATGTCCCAACCAATTAGCCAACTTCCTAAAGAATAATGAGCTAATTCATTTATCAATAGCTGCCTGCGGTCTTGTTCCCATCCTCATGTAATCGAGCAGGCTGATGAAGCGATCACATCCAAGTGAATAATTGGTTTGTTGTAAATGACTGGAAATAAGGCTAAATGAGCTGAGATGGCAGGATGCAAGACTCTGGTGAGATTCAATTCGACTGCAACATTCATTCTCTGTTGAGAGCCATTACTGGTGTTTGCCAAATTAGGCACACTGGCTGAAAGGAGAGGAAATTAGTAATTACCTGCTGAGATGTGAGAGAAAAATGTGGTTATCGGTGTAACACGGCAGTGGGTTTCACAGGTTGCATCTGACGTGGCACTTCTGTTTGTTTTTAGCATAAGTGAAATGATGCTGAATGCTTGATACTTAATAATAATGTGTTGACAAGAAGTCCTCATTAGAGTGTGCTTAAAACCTAAGCAAACTTCACTGAACTTTAGAAGACAGTCTTTTATGTCACATTAGTGGCTTAGTGGTTGTATAAAATGTTCAGATGTTTTCAAGATTTTTGAAATGTTTTCGAATGTCTCATATTCATCAAGACTGCATTTATTGCATTTATTACAGTAAAAACGGTAATATTGTAGAATATTATTGCAATTTCAAAAAACTGTTTTACATTTTAATAGATTTTAAAATATAAATTTTAGCAGCCATTACTCCAGTCTTCAGTGTCACATGATCCTTCAGAAATCATTCTCATATTCTCATATATATAAAAGTTGCACTGCTTAATTTTTTTTTATGGAAACTGATTTTTTTTTGATGAATCTAAAGTTCAAATGAACCGTATTTATTTGAATATTTTATTTTTGTAAATTTTGTACTCTTGCTTTTGATAAATTTAATGCATGAATTCTTAAAAAAAAATATTACTGACCCTAAAAATTTTTAACAGCAGTGTATATGCACTTGTTGGGGCTATGCTTTTCAAGGTAATATTAAAAATGCCTTGTGTGTGATTTTATAGGCTCTTGTTTGTTTTTGTATTTTTGTGCTTTGTTGGAAAATCTGTGTTGTGAAGTAAAACCATCTGAGAACCACCACCTTAAAACATCTACTAAATCGAGATTAACTGTGTAGTCTTGAATTCTAAGAAATCACGTTGTTGTTTTTTTCACCATCTGGCAAACATGGCATGATTTGCATGTATTATTTATATAGCTTTTTGACAAAATCCTATAAAATCCAACAAGCCATATTTTCTGTCTCTAATATAAGAATAATCAAAGCCACCGGGCTCTGGAGATGACGCGTGGCCTCTGCAGAAATGATTAAGTACCCAGAGCCTGTTCCTGCTGGGAACAAAGAGTGGGCTTCACCTCACACATACAGGTTCATTTATCAGCAGTGCTGTTGATTTTTACATTGAGATCATTATGAAGGGTTCAAACAGAATGCTTTACGCTGTTTTTAAACCCATTACTCACAGCACTAAGAAACTGACAGGGGAGGAATAGAGCCCACATAAGGGATCTTAGGGATCTATAGTGGACTATTGCACACGCAACTCTTCAATCTTGATGATTTGAACAGGCTGAATAACTTTATTGCTTTTTCCAGAATCTATTAGCCAGAACATATCACCACAACATTCAAAACTGTGTCAGCTGTCATGTTGTGTGCTGCTGGATTTGATATATTACCTACTGACATAATCTCATTAATATTCATAGGTATGCATATATAGTGTATTTTGCACAAATTGTTTTTAACAGCTTCCACTTTTATGTTGGCATAATTTTAGAGATATATATTTACAAAGGTTCATTGGATATTGAATTGAATTCAATGAATTGTGATTTTTTTATTTATTATAAATGGGATTTAATATTTTTATACTATTTAATGCAGCTACTTTCTAGACCTATTTTTCTCTTATTTAAATTTTTTTTCTCTCTGTAATTCTGCCATACAAAGAGTGCAAATGAGTACTTTTATGATAAGTCCTATATGATTGTCATTTGTAAATACATTTTCCAAGGCCTTTCTATGACAAACGTATTGTTTATACTACCATTAAAAAGTTTGGGTCAGTAATTTTTTTTAAAGGAATTAAGATTAAATTAGGATTTTGTGAAAGAAATTAGTACTTTTTCTGAGCAAAGATGCATTAAATTAATCAGAAATGACAGTAAGATGTTTACATTTTTTCAAAAATATATTATATTTCAAATAAGTGCAGTTCCTTTGAACTTTACATTCATCAAAGAATCCTGAAAAAAGTATGGCTTCCACACAAATATTAAACAGCACAACTGTTTTCAACATTGATAATAATAATAAATGTTTCTTGAGCAGCAAATCAGCATATTAGAATGATTTCTGAAGGATCGTGTGACACTGAAGACTGGAGTAATGATGCTGAAAGTCCAGCATATCAGGATAAATTTAATTTTCTAATATACTAAAATAGAGAACAGTTATTTTAAATTGTAGTAATATTTCACTATATGTTTTACTGTATTTTTGATCAAATAAATCCAGCCTTGGTGAACATAAATTCAAGGTTCCAGTAATATCAGTTTCCACTAGCATTTTGTGAACAGGACGCTCGATTCATAAACATTTTTACATCTTTAAAGCTAAACACATTTTATATGCTGTGATTATGCTGATTTTCCACATTTCAGTCTTTCAAAACTTTATTTAAGGCTAGTGAATGAAGTTAAGCAAAC